TGTTATGATCCTGTGTTTCATTTCTGTAGGTCAGTTAACCATGATTGTGGGCCAAGTGGGATGTGGAAAGTCCTCTCTTCTCCTTGCCATCCTCGGTGAGATGCAGACACTGGAAGGGAAAGTTCACTGGAGCAAGTACGTGTATTTTTAATTAGTTTCTGTCATACATCTGATAATCTTCCAAGAGAAAAACTTACAGCAATAAATTCCAATGTTGTGAGTCTGAGGACTCCTTAGAAGTAAATGCAGCTTTTTAAAAAAATTGGTAGGAACTTCTAATGTCATAAATAAAAAATTATAAAACAATTTATTATAGAGATTTATAATAATATAAACTAACATGTTGCTGAAATAAAAGTAAGGTTGGAATTGTAAAGATAGATTTTTAAAGTTAAATAGGCAACACTCAAAGAAATAACTTAAAAACTCAATAATAAAATAAGTTATGGAAAACTTGCATTCTTTATAAAGCTTAAATGCAAACAATTCCTTAATGCTTCAGTCTTCAGAGAAGAAGTATCAAATAATCTTTTCTGAAACCTTCATAAGAGGCTGAAAAATCAGCTATTTCTCTTCATACTTAATTTGAACTAGATACTGGAATTATCGAATTAGAGGTATGGATAGATCTGACTAGAGTGTTCTGAAACACTAAAGACATGGAAAAGGAGGTGCTTCTTCCGGATATTTGAATGGTTGATTCTAACATAGTGCTTCTTCTAGACATTTGAATGGTGGTTTGGGGTCTTCACAGCACATTATGGTAATAAAGTGATTCAGAACCATAATATATAATTGGTTGATAAAGAGTAAATTATATTTAGTTTGGCCTACCTAGTATGAAGAAATTGGCTATAGCATATCTAAGAAATTGGACTATAAACCAGTGGTTCTCAAGCATGTGTGATTTTGCCCCTAGGGGATATTTGGCAATATTGGAAGACATATTTGTTTATCACACTGGGTCATTGGGCTGCTACTGACCTAGTGGACAGAGGCCAGGATGCTGCTAAATATTCTACAATACACAGGACAGCCCCCAAAACAAGGAATTGTATTGCCCCAAATATCAGTTGTGCTGAGGTTGGGAAACATTGCTCTGGACCTACCGATGTTCTTTAATATCGTTTTGTACCTATCATCGTGAGTTCCACTGTGGCTTAGTCTGCTGTTTATGTATACAGACATCTCTCAAGAATGAGTAAAGACTATTTATGGGCACTTTTAGAATAAATTCTATTTTAAACTCCAATTAAGAGAAGGAAATGCTTGGATGTAAAATTAGAACTGAAATCAATAGAAGTATAAATCCTGTTTTCAGTGTCACTGGCAAACGAAGGAGGCTGAGAAATGTTGAAGATACATTTTATCCCTGTTGGATAAATGTAATAGACAGTGGTAGCCTTGAGACTAGTGCTGTGGTCCCCAATCCCTGGCTGTGGACTGGTACTGGTCCGTGGCCTGTTAGGGACCAGGCCACAGAGCTCCGCTGCCCGCCTTCCCCCGTCCGTGGAAAAATTACCTTCCACGAAACTTAGGAACTGGGGGGCTGCACGGCAGGAGGTGAGCAGTGGGGAGCTAGTGAAGCTTCATCTGTATTTATACCT